CTGGGACACACGCTACTTCATGACCCAGGTAAAGACTACATGTCTGGGACATGGTGCGAGCTGGACGAATCTGTTACTGCCTGACTTACAAAGAACAAACAGACGTTGAAGCTGCAGCAGAGAAAATTCTTCCTCTGCAGTGAGACGTGTCAATCTGCTCCTCTTTTTCTTCCTCTTTCTAACCTATTTTCTTTCTCCCTCCTCTTCCTCACCCAGGTGGAGGAGAAGCAGTACGCTGTGGATCAGAACCTGTTGAAGGAGTACTTTCCCATGGAGGTGGTGACTCGGGGGCTGCTGGACATCTACCAGGAGCTGCTGGGTTTGTCCTTCGAGCTGGTGGCCGGAGCCGCCGTCTGGCATCCTGACGTCACTCTGTACTGCGTGAAAGACCGTGGCAGTGGACGGATGGTGGGACAGTTCTACCTGGACCTCTACCCAAGGTCATCATCATACAACACACACCCTCCATCACCCAGTAACAACCAGCTCAAATCAGACCGCAGCAGGAAAACACCGAGTCGAGAAAATATGTGAAAGATTCTGTTTCTAAAATATTGAGAAACAAACTGAAGAGAAAAAATCTGTCTCTCCTCCGGTGCAGGGAGGGGAAGTACGGGCACGCCGCCTGCTTCGGCCTCCAGCCCGGCTGCCTCCTGCCCGACGGCATGCGGCAGATGTCGGTGGCGGCCATGGTGGCTAACTTCAGCAAGCCGACGGCCGATGCTCCAGCCCTCCTGCAGCACGACGAGGTGGAGACGTACTTCCACGAGTTCGGCCATGTTATGCACCAACTGTGCGCTGAGGTCAGTCAACATGGAGGCGGAGCTGTGAGGGAAATGTTAAACATTCAGCTTCAGTCTTCGCTGTTCGATCAGAACAGAATTTTTACTTAGCTTGTGTGTGTGTGTGTGTGTGTGTGTGTGTGTGTGTGTGTGTGTGTGCACAGGCGGACTACGCCATCTTCAGCGGGACTCATGTGGAGCGAGACTTTGTGGAGGCTCCGTCTCAGATGTTGGAAAACTGGGTTTGGGAGAAGGAGCCTCTGCAGAGGATGTCGAAACACTACAAGACGGGCAGCAGCATCCCCGAGGAGCTGCTCGACAAACTCATCAAGTCCCGGCTCGCCAACACCGGTACGTACCGCAGGCCACTTCCACCAGTACTACACGTACTACTGCAGTACTACACGTACTACTGCAGTAGCAAATGTACTGCACCTTAATCACTGTAAGTTGACAGTTCATTTGTTTTGATGCTCGTCTCTTTCTGTTGGAATAAACTTTTGTTTTGTTGAATATATAATATATATAAT